CGCGACGCGCCGCCCCGCGCCGGCCGGCGCGCCTCGCGGTGCGCGCGGACGCCGCGCGGGCGGCGACGGCGCTGACGCAGGACGACCTCAAGCGGCTCGCGGCGGTGCGCGCGGTGGAGCAGGTGCAGAGCGGCATGGTCCTGGGGCTCGGGACGGGGTCCACGGCCGCCTTCGCCGTCGCCGAGATCGGCGCGCTCCTCGCCAGCGGGAAGCTCTCCGGCATCGTCGGCGTGCCCACCTCCAAGCGCACCTTCGAGCAGGCCACGTCGCTCGGGATCCCGCTCTCCACGCTCGACGACCACCCCGTCATCGACCTCGCCATCGACGGCGCCGACGAGGTCCTCTCCTCCCTCTTCCCTCGCCATTGACTTTCTCTCTGCACCGTACCATTTTAGTTCTGACGACTCTTACTGAGGTTCAGTTCAGATCGTCCCCTTAATTTTTCCCAAGAACCATCTATGATTAATTAACCATGTTCCAATTTTTTCACCAAGCAGGTCGACCCAGATCTTAACCTTGTCAAAGGGCGGGGTGGAGCCCTTCTCCGAGAGAAAATGGTCGAGGCCGCGTCAGGAAAGTTTGTCGTCGTCGTCGATGAGACGAAACTCGTTACCGGCCTGGGAGGGAGCGGCCTCGCCATGCCGGTGGAGGTTGTGCAGTTCTGCTGGAAGCACAACCAAGTAAGGCTGCAGGGTCTGTTCAACGAAGAAGGCTGCGAGGCGAAGCTGAGACTGAATGAGGATGGCAAGCCCTATGTTACCGACAACTCGAACTACATTGTCGATTTATACTTCAAGACGCCGATCAGGGACGCGTTGGGCGCGGGCAAGGAGATTGCGGCTTTGGAAGGAGTTGTTGAGCATGGGCTGTTCTTGAACATGGCAACTTCAGTGATCATTGCTGGATCTGACGGCGTCAGTGTCAAAACAAAGTGAGTCTTTTTGGTCAGCTGTTGTCGGTGTGTTGAGTTTACGATTTTTCAGTGAATAAGCTATCTGTGTACAATGGGGAATGATGTTGTTCTATAAATATAGTTTTTCTATGTTTCGTTGGCTCTCACAGTTTTTTTTGGCTTGAAAAGAGAATCGGATTGCGGATAAAACACCGCTTCAATTGATTGAAGCCTTTGTGATCATGACAAGTCAATGACATTAATCTTCTTGCGCGCCAATCATCTTCTGAGAACAACACTTTGAATAAACTTGGGAGCCTGCATGTATATCAGATAATTCAGACTACAGCTCACCAGATGCTTATTCATTACCTGACATGCTACATACTGAAGCAAGCAAAAATAGCAAAATATAACGTACGGCTTATAGTCGTACCTGTTAAAAGCTCCTTTTCCCTTATTATTTTGGAGAAGAAGTGTCGGCTGCATATACATGTGAATGTGATCTTTCAAGACAGAAGGGCCTACACTGAAACAGTCTTATCAATATAGAAATACAAAAACATGAACAGCCGAATTACAACTTTATTCAGATGCCAGCAAAATCTTCAGATAACTTGTAGTATTGAAGTACATCCAAGAACTGTTATTTTCTCAAAATGTCAACATGGTTTTGGAGTTGTATTCACAAGACAATTTCAGGTCAGAAAATTGGAGTACTGGTCCACAAGGGAGGTGGGTGGGGTGTTTACACAGTGGAACTGTACAGCCTGAAGCTAATAAAATGCAAATTATTGTGGGTTTATGTTTTCCTTCTGAGGCCTCTCCTTATAATCCCGTTTCTTTGAAGCTCTTTGACAACCATATGGCTGTCTCTCTTGGAGACGCCTTCCCAGGCCCAAAAGGCTTTAGCAAGATCCCCAGCTCCTGAAGTCTCTCTTGTTGGAGCAACTGGGCACTGAACTCAAGCAAGCCCTCTAGAGCCTCAGCTCGCTGCCGGTAGGACGTCGTGTCAAACCTCTTCTGCCTCCAATCGGACGAACTTCCGACTTGATTATTGTCGATACTGAGCAGGTTCGGATCACGAGTGTTGGTGTGGCTTTCGCTGCCCCCCCGGAGCACTTGGAAAGTGCATTTGTCCTTGGTAATCGATTTGTCAGTGATAGATGGTGGCATGAGCTTCATGATGGGATACAATGGATCTTCAGAGGATGCCAGTGGGAATTCAGCAATTCTGTCGATTCGAGGTGCATTAACTGAAACATCAGGAGACTTCAATTTGGTGAGAATGTTGACGACTCGCCTCTTCTCAGCTGCTTTGAACATGTGTGGGGAAAGTGATGCTCGCCGTGTAGCTTGTATTGTCTGATCCACTGAAGATCCTGATGGGGGAGGCTGATGGTGTCAAAACAACAAAAGGTTAATGCATAATATTTGATCAAAGTACACACAATGCGTCACACATGTACTACACATAATGCTTCACACATGCACTGACTAGGAAAAGGAAGTCTTCAAACATGGGCTTACGAAGGCAGCTAAAAGTAATATCTACATACCTCCTCTTTGTGAGCTGTTCTAGCATGAAATGTTTTTGCAGGTTCTAGCCGTCTCCTAGGAGTAGAGGACGCCCTTCGAGGGGTACGTGCTGGTGATCCTCTTTCTTTTGAATGTTTATCATCCATCGCTTCTTTGACAACTTCGTTGGTGACCTGGACTGGTAACTGACCCATCTGTTGATGAAGCGGTTCTGAACAATCTTTTGCTGTTCTGGTAGACTGAGGAGGGCCATGGTTAGCAGTGGCATTGTCAAGTTCCACAATTCTCTGTGCTTTAAATGAATGACTCTTAACATATTGGGGTTTGCAAGTGTCTTCATCATCAGAAGATGCAGTCTTGTTTTTTTCATGTCTGTTAGGAAGTATAGCTGTGAACATATTGCGAGCCGGACTTGATTTCGATTGGATTTCCAACACATAGGGCTGAAGATGCGGGTGGTTTAGCAGATCCGCAGCCTGAAAATCACAATCAGCATGAGGCAATGAGATGTGCAAATGAGTGCAGAAACTATTCAGTAAAACAAAATAATATGCTCTAGGAAAATGTGACTCATACACTTGGTCTGTGATCCGGATTTCTGCGCAGCATGCTTTTGATGAGGCCCCTACTGCACGGCAGAAAATAAACATGTTACAAACTTTTCAGATGTCATGAATAGCTCAAGAACTTCGTAAGATTAATGCGTTGCAGGTGCTTACAATGCACCCGAATATATAGTCGGTAGAGGAGCGACGACAGACTTGTTAATCTTGTTTATCAGTGTCTGCATATCCTGTTAGGAAAGAAAAATATCTTCTGAAATGCAAATTCTGGTGAAACATCATGTCACAATTTACAGGATGGAACTGTAACTTTTCTTTTGCGGGGAAGAAGGAATTGTAACTTAAAGAGCATATCAACTTACAAATGCTTTGAATGCATGCTTCAGCGCAGTCATCTCATAGATGCAGCATCCTGAAAGCTGCAGATGTTTAGCCAAGAGGAAAATGCGATATTCAGAGCAAGACATGCGACTGAATATTAGATAGGAGTACTTGCCTAGCGACCATATGTCGGACTTGGAGCCGTATGGAATATCAGCAAGAAGCTCAGGGCACATGTAACTGGGAGTTCCTACAACCTTCAGAAGAGACACGGTATATCGAATCATAAGCAACTTATACTAGAAAGAGAAACACCTACCTACGTACGGGTTGAGCAAGAACAACTTACCGATGAAGCTAAATCATCAGAAGTCAATACTTTAGCCAGCCCAAAATCACCTGTTTCAGACAAGATATATGTTAGGAACAGAACATATCGCCGTCAGTTATTTCAGGTATTTGTCCCTAACTGTTTTTTATCAGAGCATACTTACCGAGCCGTATATTTTGGTCCTTTGTAAGAAATATATTTGAACACTGAAAAAAGCACAGTCCATGGTGAGTAACCGGCTAGGCTTAACTGAAATGAAATGCGAGTATCAGATAAAGGCTACGAATATAGCAACCTTCACATCTCGATGAAGGATATGACTGGCATGCAGGTAATCAAGCGCCATCAGGAGCTGCACAAGCCACACACAGAGTTTCTGCATCCAGAAAAAATGGGCACGGCAACGGGGAAAAGTTCAGTAATCAGAATTTGCAGCTAGGTACTGAAGAACACATATTACAGAGTAGTTGAGCACCTCCTCCGGGAAATGGCTGCCGTTAGCCTTCTTAATGGCCTCTAGCCTGCAAATGCACAGGGGAAAACAGAGAACCACAATTTCGTCACATGTTCCAAATTCAGTTCAGAGCTTACTTCACAAGTTACATATACATACATGTCCCCTCCCTCGCAGTAACCGATCACGATGCACACATAGCAGCCCTGATGACAACAATAAAGACACTCATTTCAGGCGACGGCGGTCACATGAATCCTTCGGTTGAAACATTTTTCTTTTTCTTTTTTGAAAGAGAATTTTCTGTAGGAACATTGAAACATGCAAGGAGAGAGCAAGAGCAAAGATTGCTCCTAGGACCCTGCCAATATGCGCAGATGAGAGAAGAGGGGAGGACCGTGCTCACCTTCTCCACCCAAGAATCTCTGTACTCCACAATGTACGGGCTCCTTACTTTCGCAATGAGCTCCATCTGCATGAACAAATTAAATGGTGAATTTCGCGCATTCATCAAAAGGTTAAACAAACCATCTGAATCAAATGCTGACATGTCACAAAAAAAGGGAAGAAAGAGCTAGACCTCTTGGTGCGCGGATCGACGGCACCTGGCGGTCTGGCGGGCGAGCCGGATCTTCTTCAGGACATACCTGAAACAAGCCATGCTTGAGAGACGCCCCAGGGATTGTGAAGAGCATAAAAGGATGAACAAGCAAGGGTGGAATTGCAATGGAATTGCACCAACCTCTTCTTCTCAACCTTGTGCCTGACCAGGAGCGCAGAGCCAAAGGAGCCCTTCCCAATCTGCTCCAGCACCTCGTACTGATCCATCTTCTTCTTCTTCTTCTTCTTCTTCTTCTTCTTCTTCTTCTTCTTCTTCTTCTTCTTCTTCTTCTTCTTCTTCTTCTTCTTCTTCCCTAATCCGATTCAGCCCAAACAGAATGGCTTCCTCCCTGCCGAGAAACAAACGGCCCTGAAAGGGGAATCGCAAGAAAAACACCCAAGGAAAAGATTGGAGAAGATTTCAACGGACCACGCCAAGGACAAAACCGATTCTGGTTAGAATGAAGAAGAGAAAAACCGAAGCAAAACTGATGGACGGCAGTAATCGATACCTCGACTGGTGATGAATTGTTGAACAGGCTGTGCTCTTCGTCGCCTTACCTGCCTTCCATTTTTAGGGAGGG